GGACGCTACTAGGGGCTCCTGGCCTTACTACTAGGAGCAAGGACGCTAGTTCTTTTGAATTTTCCTCTGTCTTGGTGGGCATACTACAGCTCGCAAGTCGTGACGTGTGGTTGTGTGCAACTCATCCACCAACTGTACGTCACTTTTTAGATTCGCTTCCGTGTGCTAGAGTATCAACTCATTCGGAACGTCTGAAGCTTCATCGATGTTTCTCCTGTCTATGAATGTCTATGACAAGTGTTTGTTTTCAATCGCACCCGACAACCGCCGGCGAACCCGTTGTTTCTCTGCAGCTGTGCTAAAGCGGAGCGATCCGCTTTAGCACGGATCCCGCCGCGGTTTCTGCAGTACCCATCAGCGAAACCGAAAGCACGTCACTCATGTAGGTCTCAAGCAAATCCCCGAGCTTCGACTCGTGGGTCGTCCAGAGGCACCGGAAGTAAGGAGGGTTGGATGGGATAAAGGCAAAACCATTCTGTACAGTTCGTTTGCATAAATTACATAGTTCGTCTGCATTGTAGCTTCCCACTAGGGTGTGTGGTCACTGCATTTTGCTTTGTCAAATCACATGTGTCCAGGCTGGCCACTTATCTAGGAAATGCTTTTGCCCTCTGGACAGAACGTATTGGTTGGGGACGGACCTCCCAGAAGTCAAGTTGTAAATGAGATCATTTCCTTGGCCCAAACAAGCGTAGATCCTTATCTTGCACCATTTTTCAACCCCCACCAGTCAATGAATTTTGATGACCGTGACAGACTAGGATGAATGTGCTTTGGTTCTGGGAGTGCGCACATTGTGCATGTATAAACGGTTGCTTTCGAATCTGAATCTAGCCAAACCATGCCAAGCCAAGAGCTTCTTTTTACATGTCAGAGACAGATCCTCGTGATGCAAGCGTCAATAAAGTTACTGTTGCTTAGCTGCTTAACTCGGGATTTCTCAACGGAGGACGTTCTTTTCTACTAAGCATGTCGGATCTTGCTTCTGCTAGGGTGCACCTTTTCTCTTTGCAGGTTTGTGTGGTGGCTTTTGATACCAAACCCACCGCAGGCATGGCATGGCATCGCAGTGTGAGCAAGAAAGCAGAAACAAAAGACATGGTGCACCTGATGTGCATCTCCATGATTCATATTTTGCCTCTTTTGCCATTTGACTCCAAAAAGCCGAACAATCTGTGTCTCAAAAACATGTGAATCAGCTCCCTGGGCGAATTCCACTCGAACACACGGGTCACATGCGCACTCCACAAAATCATGTTAGGTCCTGGGTCATCCTTTGGGGAGCGGTCCGCGTAGATTTGGGCCCTCAACGGCTTTACTGGTCCACGAATCAGTGACTTTAGAGGCCCAGGTTTCAATATGACAAGTGATTATTCAATGCACAAACAACCAAACTGTGTAAAAGGCCGCTGATCCCTTTGGTTTGCATGAACAACGGTACAACTCTTTACACCAAGTGTGCTTCATAAGCCACCCGAGCTTTGTGAGAGATCCCGCTTGGTCGGTGAGGTTCTACTGCCTGACCCCAAAACAATATCGACCCCACTGGATATAGAGTCAGAGGAGCATTATCATACAAGCGGTCTTGTGCGACCGATGAGAGTTCAGATCCTTTTGTCATTCCTTGCTTTGCTTTCCTGCACAGATATGAACCTAACCTAGAGACATGTCTGCATTTTAGACGTTTTTGCTTGGCTGGTCCTGAAGGCTTTAGCTGCTATGCCTTGGCTGATTGTCTCAAACAGTGGCTCGGACAAATCTACACCTGCGAGTTTTGTCTGACATACACCCCCGCACCCCACACCACTAGGACAAACGAGTCTTTGTAGGGAAATCCTGAAATCTCAGTGACCATGAACCTTGTAGAACTAACCTTCAACATTGGACCGCTAACAATTGCGAGCAAGCGCCGGATTTTCCTGCATTTAGATGCTGGAAATCCACGCTTGGTAAGAGTATGCAAGAGCAATTGAACCATGGATTGGCAGCAAAAAATATGGAACACAGGCACATTCAGGGCTCGTGTCTTTTTCTATTTTCTATTTGTCCTTTACCAGACGTCTGCTCTTGAGGGGGACAGCCATTTGTTTGTGCCCATGTGGCTCTAGTCGCTGAGGTTTCAAGCTTCGATACTTAGAAAGTTGTGACATCTAACTTGACCGAGGCAAAGTGGCTGGGAAGTTGCAACTTGCTGGGGCCTTGCTTGAGAGAACCCTGGTTTGGTCGTGTCCAGTTTGAAGTCCAACACCTGTCCTCTCTTTTTTGCAATGCATCTGAGGTGAGCACACAACTTCCCATCCTTCTGTGGGAAAACATTATATATAACATATACATAAACACACAAACGGGATCAAACGGGAATTATATAACGACACTGCTCCGCAAGGTCAAAATCCACCCTCGGTTCACTTGGCTCTGTGAGATCCTGAGAAGCTGCATTTGAAGACTCGCTCATTCGGCGGTTCAGGATGCGGTGACGGTTGGTGTAACAACCAGGTCTTGGATAGATAATCGCCTTGTTGAACGTGACAATGGAGTGTGGGGCTTTGCCAGTTTCTATGCTTCTGTGACTTGGGGAAGTAATTACAGTTTCTTTTTGCTGTGAGAAGTTGCCCACATGAGCGGCTGAAGGACGCTACTCACATCAAAGCAGGCGGACCGATTCATCAAAGACGTGAAGGCACCGTTGGTGATGTGAAGACGACAGTTGCAATTCAGTGGCGGACGCTCTCTTTCTTGGTCCACTTTATCAAGCCAATTTGTTTTGGAATGATGGCCGAAGGCCACTGACAGAAACCTTGAGGTAACTTTCGGTTTATCTTGCACGGATTCACCAGATTCTCACACCCGCAGAAGCCATTGGGACTGACAGGAAGCTTTGAGTTCAAATGACCCAACATGTTATTCTACTTGTAAAGCTGAGAAGGTTTCTGTGATCAGATCAAAACCGGGCCAGACACAGAATCCCCTGCTTTTGCCACTCGACCAGGCGGCTGTGGACCTTGTGAAGGAGAGCCCCAAGCTTTACAATTCCACGGCCGGGGTCTATGGCCGGAAGCTAAGATCACACAATTGTTGGTGCCTGTGCTCCGCTTCTTTTCGTAGTGGAACAGGCTCATGCATTTGGAGGAATGAATCAACCATTTACTCCTTGCCCTCCTCCTCCTCCTCCTCCTCACCAGCAGCAGCAGCAGCAACAGCAGCAACAGCAGCAGCAACAGCAGCAACAGCAGCAACAGCAGCAACAGCAGCAACA